GTTGCTTTTGCAGTATGCTTTGGGTCTGTGCCCATCTGCACTGTGAAGCGGCGTCCAATGAGTTGTGAAGCATTTGGCTGAATATGAGCAGATAATAATGCCCGAAACACTTCAGAATTCATCCTGCTGCTTTTGTCAGCAGTCACATCATCAATAAATACAAGAGAACCAGTTCCATTGGCAGCCATACATGCCCACGCCATGACACTACCACCACCATGCTTCACTGATGAGGTGGTATGCTTAGGATCATGAGCAGTTCCTTTCCTTCTCTATACTCTTCTCTTCCCATCACTCTGGTACAAGTTGATCTTGGTCTCATCTGTCCATAGGATGTTGGTCCAGAACTGTGAAGGCTTTTTTAGATGTCGTTTGGCAAACTCTAATCTGGCCTTCCTGTTTTTAGGCTCACCAATGGTTTACATCTTGTGGTGAACCCTCTGTATTCACTCTGGTGAAGTCTTCTCTTGATTGTTGACTTTTGGACACACATACACCTACCTCCTGGAGAGTGTTCTTGATCTGGCCAACTGTTGTTAAGGGGTGTTTTCTTCACCAGGGAAAGAATTCTTCGGTCATCCACCACAGCTGTTTTCCGTGGTCTTCCGGGTCTTTTGGTGTTGCTGAGCTCACCGGTGCGTTCTTTCTTTTTAAGAATGTTCCAAACAGTTGTTTTGGCCACGCCTAATGTTTTTGCTATCTCTCTGATGGGTTTGTTTTGTTTTTTTCAGCCTAATGATGGCTTGCTTCACTGAGAGTGACAGCTCTTTGGATCTCATCTTGAGAGTTGACAGCAACAGATTCCAAATGCAAATAGCACACTTGGAATGAACTCTGGACCTTTTATCTGCTCGTTGTAATTGGGATAATAAGGGAATAACACACACACCTGGCCATGGAACAGCTGAGAAGCCAATTGTCCCATTATTTTTGGTCCCTTAACAAGTGGGAGGCACATATACAAACTGTTGTAATTCCTACACCGTTCACCTGATTTGGATGTAAATACCCTCAAATTAAAGCTGACAGTCTGCAGTTAAAGCACATCTTGTTCGTTTCATTTCAAATCCATTGTGGTGGTGTATAGAGCCAAAAATGTTAGAATTGTGTTGATGTCCCAATATTTATGGACCTGACTGTATGTTTAGATACCTCCAAGCTAGCATTTACAAAGCCATTTAGCCTTCCCTCTCATGATGTAGATCAGTAGTCTCTAAACTGTGGTTCATAAGCTGGATATAGTTGGGTACAGCCCTTTGCTTGCCTTTAATTGGCACTTAGAACACCTTCTTCTCACTGACACAAGCGATGAAGTGGTATTTCTCCCACTGACACCAGTGATGGGCACTTATCCGTTGACTCCAACAATGAGACATTATTCCTTCCATTGACTCCAAAAATGGGGCACTATTTCTTCCACTGACAACAACCATTGGGTTGCCAAGCTATCATTTATTATAAAGCCATTCAGCCTTCCCTCTCATGATGTAGATCAGTGGTCTCCAAACAGTTGCCCACAGACTGGATGTGACCCTTTGCTTGCCTTTATTCGGCCCTTGGGGACTAGTTCTCTCACTGACACCAGTGATGAGGCAGTATTATTCTCACTGACACCAGCAATGAGACACATCTCCCCACTGACTCCAGGGATGGGGCTCTATCTATCTATGGTGTCTTCTATTGACACCAACAATAGGGTACTCTTCCTTCCACTGACACCAACCATTGAGCACTATTCCTTCCACTGACAATGATAAGCACTACCCCCCCCCCCCCCCACACACACACACACACACACACACTACACACTAATACTAGAGATGAGCGAATCGAAGTAGGCGAAGTGGAATTCGTTTCGAATATTGGGAAGGCGCGCAGACAAGGAGCGCTGACCCATAATGCATTCCTTAATGACATGTGATCGCATTAGCCAATCAGCAGCCAGCCAGCCAGCACTGTGTAATGGTCGAGCTATAAATGGCGGCCATTTTAGAATTCTTCATTTGCCTCCAGTCATTCAAGAGAGGCAGACCGCTCTGTATTAGGGACAGAGTTAGGGCCACAGAAACGTTACTTGGGGACAGAGAAACGTTACTTAGGGACAGAGAAACGTTACTTAGGGACAGAGAAACATTACTCAGGGACACAGAATTGTTAGTGAGGGCCACAGAATCGTTACTTAGGGCCACAGAAACGCTAGTTAGGGCCACAGAATTGTTACTCAGGGACAGACAGAATTGTTACTGAGGGCCACAGAATTGTTACTTAGGGCCACAGAAACGTTACTCAGGGCCACAGAATTGTTACTGAGGGCCACAGAACTGTTACTTAGGGCCACAGAAACGTTAGTTAGGGCCACAGAATTGTTACTCAGGGACAGACAACAGAAGTTATAGAATTGTTACTGAGGGCCACAGAATTGTTACTTAGGGCCACAGAAACGTTACTCAGGGACACAGAATTGTTACTGAGGGCCACAGAACTGTTACTTAGGGCCACAGAAACGTTAGTTAGGGCCACAGAATTGTTACTCAGGGACAGACACAGAATTGTTACTGAGGGACACAGAAATGTTACTGAGGGCCACAGAACTGTTAATTAGGGCCACAGAATTGTTACTCAGGGGACACAGAATTGTTACTGAGGGCCACAGAAAACCGTACTTAGGGCCACAGAATTGTTACTCAGGGACAGACACAGAATTGTTACTCAGGGCACACAGAATTGTTACTGAGGGCCACAGAACCGTTACTCTTGGGCCAAACAGAATTGTTACTCAGGGACACAGAATTGTTACTGAGAGCCACAGAACCGTTACTTAGGGCCACAGAATTGTTACTCAGGGACAGACACAGAATTGTTACTCAGGGACACAGAATTGTTACTGAGGGCCACAGAACCGTTACTTAGGGCCACAGAATTGTTACTCAGGACAGACACAGAATTGTTACTGAGGGCCACAGGAATTGTTACTTAGGGCACCACAGAAACGTTACTCAGGGACACAGAATTGTTACTGAGGGCCACAGACCGTTACTTAGGGCCACAGAATTGTTACTCAGGGACAGACACAAATTGTTACTGAGGGACACAGAATTGTTACTGAGGGCCACAGAACCGTTACTTTAGGGCCACAGAATTGTTACTCAGGGACAGACACAGAATTGTTACTCAGGGACACAGAATTGTTACTGAGAGCAACAGAACGTTACTTAGGGCCACAGAAAATGACGTTACTCAGGGACACAGAATTGTTACTGAGGGCCACAGAACCGTTACTTAGGGCCACAGAATTGTTACTCAGGGACACAGAATTGTTACTGAGGGCCACAGAACCGTTACTTAGGGCCACAGAATTGTTACTCAGGGACAAGACACAGAATTGTTACTCAGGGACACAGAATTGTTATGTTACTGAGGGCCACAAGAACCGTTAACTTAGGGCCACAGAATTGTTTCTTAGGGACACAGAAATTGTTAACTGAGGGCCACAGAACCGTTACTTAGGGCCACAGAATTGTTACTCAGGGACAGACACAGAATTGTGTTACTCAGGGACACAGAATTGTTACTGAGGGCCACAGAACCATTTACTTAGGGCCACAGAATTGTTACTCAGGGACACAGAATTGTTACTGAGGGCCACAGAACCGTTACTTAGGGGCCACAGAATTGTTACTCAGGGACAGGACACAGAATTGTTACTCAGGGACACAGAATTGTTACTGAGGGCCACAGAAACCGTTACTTAGGGCCACAGAAACGTTACTCAGGGACACAGAATTGTTACTGAGGGCCACAGAAACCGTTACTTAGGGCCACAGAATTGTTACTCAGGGACAGACACAGAATCCTTACTACCAGGGACAGACACAGAATTGTTACTCAGGGACACAGAATTGTTACTGAGGGACACAGAATTGTTACTCAGGGACACAGAATTGTTACTGAGGGACACAGAATTGTTACTGAGGGACACAGAATTTTTACTGAGGGACACAGAATTGTTACTGAGGGACACAGAATTGTTACTCAGGGACAGACACAGAATTGTTACTCAGGGACAGACAGAATTGTTACTGAGGGCCACAGAACTGTTACTTAGGGCCACAGAAACGTTACTCAGGGACACAGAATTGTTACTCAGGGAAGACACAGAATTGTTACTCAGGGACAGACACAGAATTGTTATGAGGGACACAAAATTGTTACTGAGGGAGGGAGCACAGAATTGTTACTGAGGGACACAGAATTGTTACTGAGGGCCACAGAACTGTTACTTAGGGCCACAGAAACGTTACTCAGGGACACAGAATTGTTACTCAGGGACACAGAATCGTTTAATTAAAGAGTATGTCAGACAACATGCAGAGGAGTGGCAGAGGAGGCAATGTTTTTAGGGAGCGAGTGCAGACGTGGCAGCAGAGGAAGGGGTCGAGGGCAGCACTATTCGCAGCCAGAGGCTAGTGCTCCCCGGTGTCATCCAGATACAGTGAGGAAGAGCTAACAGAGGAGCCGGTCAGGAACGGGGGGGAGACATCCGCCTCTTCAGCAGGGGCTCATCAGCAGCTAAGCAGGCGGCTCCACAGCAGAAAGTTGTGTGGCGAGGAGAGCTGGCTCGGTAGCGGGCCGGTCTAGAGACAGGTCTGTCTCCTGACCCACACGCAGCCGACGGAGGCTAGTAGTGAGGCGGAGACCCTAATTGATGATGATGAGGTGATCGCCACCTTGGCAGCCTCGTCGTCATCAGGCTATTGCCACAAATCCGCCCCATCATCAGGACAAGAAGAGGGTGGCAGCTTGGCAGCGAGCAAAACAGTCGGTGGGTTGTCTCCATCGCCACACTTACTGCCATGTGCCCACTTTCAGGTCTCCTCACACAAATGCTGGTGTACTGAGCTGTTCCAATTTTTGTCATAGGGTGCTGGCAGATTACGGGCCAACCTCCACATAGCTGCTGCCAGGCCCTAATCTGCCATGGGCCCCTATATACCGCCTCCTCATGCTGCTGCCAAGTCCAGAGTCTCTCATGGGTCCCTGTACGGCCTCCCATTGCTGCTGTCTCCATCGCCACACTCTGCCCATGTGATCCACTTTCAGGTCTCCTCACACACTGCAGGTGTGTTGAATTTTTTGACATAGGGTGCTGGCAGATTACGGGCCTCCCATAGCTGCTGCCAGGCCCCTAATCTGCCATGGGCCCCTATATCCGCTCTCTCATGCTGCTGCCAGGTCCAGAGTCTCTCATGGGTCCCTGTACGGGACCTTCCCATTGCTGCTGTCTCCATCGCCACACTCTGCCATGTGCCACTTTCAGGTCTCCTCACACACTGCTGGTGTGTTGAATTTTTTGGACATAGGGTGCTGGCAGATTACGGGCCTCCCAATACCGCTGAACTGCCAAGCCCAGAATCATGCCATGGGCCCCTATATACCGCCTCCTCATGCTGCTGCCCAGGTCCAGACAGTCTCTATGGGTCCCTGTACGGCCTCGCAGCTGTCTCCCTCGCCACACTCTGCCCATGTGCCACTTTCAGGTCTCCTCACACACTGCTGGTGGTGTTGAATTTTTTGACATAGGGTGCTGGCAGATTACGGGCCTCCCATAGCTGCTGCCAGGCCCCTAATCTGCCATGGGCCCCTATACGCCTCCTCATGCTGCTGCCAAGTCCAGAGTCTGTCATGGGTCCTGTACGGCCTCCCATTGAGCTGCTGTCTCCATCGCCACACTCTGCACCATGTGCCACTTTCAGGTCTCCTCACACACTGCTGGTGTGTTGAAGAATCCATTTTTGACATAGGGTGCTGGCAGATTACGGGCTCCCATAGCTGCTGCCAGGCCCCTAATCTGATGGGCCCCTATACCGCCTCCTCATGCTGCTGCCAAGTCCAGAGTCTGTCATGGGTCCCTGTACGGTCCTCCCATAGCTGCTGTCTCCATCGCCACAAAGAGTCTGCCATGTGCGCACTTTCAGGTCTTTCACACTGCTGGGAGAGTAGCGTAATTTGTTGACATAGGGTGCTGACGCAGATTAGGGCCTACTCTGCTGCTGCCAGGCCCCTAATCTGCCATGGGTCCCGTAACGTAAACGCAATCCTTATGCTGCTGCCAGGTCTACCCACAGTGTCTCATGCCATGTGCCACTTTCAGGTCTCCTCACACTGCTGGGTGTGTTGAATTTTTTGACATAGGGTGCTGGCCAGAGATTACGGGCTCCTATAGCTGCTGCCAGGCCCCTAATCTGCCATGGGCCCCTATACCGCCTCCATCATAGCTGCTGCCAGGTCCAGAGTCTCTCATGGGGTCCCTGTACGGCTCCCAACATTGCTGCTGTCTCCATCGCCACACTCTGCCATGTGCCACTTTTCTGGTCTCCAACACACATGCTGGTGTGTTTGAATTTTTTGACATAGGGTGCTGGCAGATTACGGGCCTCCCCTAGCTGCTGCCAGGCCCCTAATCTGCCATGGGCCCCTATACCGCCTCCTCATGCTGCTGCCAAGTCCAGAGTCTGTCATGGGTCCCTGTACGGCCTCCCATTGCTGCTGTCTCCATCGCCACACTCTGCCATGTGGGAGCCATTTTCAGGTCTCCTCACACACTGCTGGTGTGTTGAATTTTTTGACACTAGGGTGCTGGCAGATTACGGGCCTCCCATACTGCTGCTGCAAGGCCCCTAATCTGCCATGGCCCCTATATACCGCCTCCTCATGCTGCTGCCAGGTCCACAGTCGTCGGAATCATGGGTCCCTGTACTGCCTCCCATTGCTCTGTCTCCAGAATCGCCACACTCTGCCATGTGCCACTTTCACAGGTCTCCTCACACACTGGTTCTGGTGTGTTGAATTTTTGGACATAGGGTGCTGGCAGATTACGGGCCTCCCATGCTGCTGCCAGGCCCTAATCTGCCATGGGCCCCTATTATACCGCCATCCTCATGCTGCTGCCAGTCCAGAGTCTTGTCAATGGTTTGGTCCCTGTACGGCCTCCCATTGCTGCTGTCTCCATCGCCACACACTCTGCCATGTGCCACTTTCAGGTTCTCCTCACACACTGCTGGTGTGTTGAATTTTTTGACATAGGGTGCTGGCAGATTTACGGGCCTCCCAATAGCTGGCTGCCAGGCACCTAATCTGCCATGGGCCCCCTATACCGCTCCTCATGCTGCTGCCCAGTCCAGAGTCTCTCATGGGTCCCTGTACGGGCCTCCATTGCTGCTGTCCTCCATCGCCACACTCTGCCATGTTGCCACTTTCAGGGTATCTCACACATGCTGGTGTGTTGAATTTTTTGACATAGGGTGCTGGCAGATTACGGGCCCTCCCATAGCTGCTGCCAGGCATAGTCCTAATCTGCCATGGGCCCCTGTTACGCCTCCCTCATGCTGCGGTCCAGGTCCACAAGTGTCTCATGCCATGTGCCACTTTCAGGTCTCCTCACACTGCTGGTGTGTTGAATTTTTTGACATAGGGTGCTGGCAGATTACGGGCCTCCTATAGCTGCTGCCAGGCACCTAATCTGCCATGGGCCCCATATACCACCTTCCTCATGCTGCTGCCAGGTTCCAGAGTCTCTCATGGGTCCCTGTACGGCCCTCCCATTGCTGCTGTCTCCATCGCCACACTCTGCCATGTGCACTTTCAGGTCTCCTCACACTACTGCTGGTGTGTTGAATTTTTTGACATAGGGTGCTGCAGATTACGGGCCTACCCATAGCTGCTGCCAGGCCCCTAATCTGCCATGGGCCCCTATACCGCCTCCTCAGAGCTGCTGCCAGGACCACAGTCTCTCATGCCATGTGCCACTTTCAGGTCTCCTCACACTGCTGTGGTGTGTTGGAATTTTTTTGAATAGGGTGCTGGCAGATTACGGGGCCTCCATAGCTGCTGCCAGGCCCCTAATCTGCCATGGGCCCCTTTACGCTCTCCTCATGCTGCTGCCAATGTCCAGAATCTGTCAAGGGTCCCTGTACGGCCTCCATTGTGCTGTCTTCATCGCCACACTCTGCCATGTGCCACTTTTCAGGTCTCCTCACACTCTGCTGGTGTGTTGAATTTTTGGACCATAGAGGGTGCTGGCAGATTACGGGGCCTCCCATAGCTGCTGCCAGGCCCCTAATCTGGCCATGGGCCCCCTATATACCGCCTCCTCATGCTGCTGCCAGGTCCAGGAGTCTCTCATGGGTCCTGTACCCTCCATTGCTGCTGTCTCTATCGCCACACTCTGCCATGTGCCACTTTCAGGTCTCCATCACACACTGCTGGTGTGTTGAATTTTTGGGACATAGGGTGCTGGCAGATTACGGGCTCCCCATAGCTGCTGCCAGGCCCCTAATCTGCCATGGGCCCCTATATACCGCCTCCTCATGCTGCTGCCAGGTCCAGAGTCTCTCATGGGTCCCTGTACGGCCTCCCATTGCTGCTGTCTCCATCGCCACACTCTGCCATGTGCCCCACTTTCAGGTCTCCTCACACACTGTGGTGTGTTGAATTTTTTGACATAGGGTGCTGGCAGATTACGGGCCTCCCATAGCTGCTGCCAGGCCCCTCATCTGCCATGGGCCCCTATACCACACCTCCTCCTGTGCTGCTGCCAATGTCCAGAGTCTGTCATGGGTCCTGTACGGCCGTCCCCATTGCTGCTGCTTCTCCATCGCCACACTCTGCCATGTGCCACTTTCAGGTCTCTCCTCACACACTGCTGGTGTGTTGAATTTTTTGACATAGGGTGCTGGCAGATTACGGGCCTCCCATAGCTGCTGCCAGGCCCCTAATCTGCCATGGGCCCCCCTATACCGCCTCCTCATGCTGCTGCCAAGTCCAGAAGTCTGTCATGGGTCCTGTACGGCCTCCCCATTGCTGCTGTCTCCATCGCCACACTCTGCCATGTGCCACTTTCAGGTCATCCTCACACACTGCTGGTGTGTTGAATTTTTAGAGACATAGGGTGCTGGGACAGAGGATACGGGCCTTCTATAGCTGCTGCCAGGCACCTAATCTGCCATGGGCCCCTATACCACAATCCTCATGCTGGCTGCCAGGTCAGGAGTCTTCATGGGTCCTGTAACGGCCCTCCCATTGCTTGCTGTCGAAATCTATCGCCACACTCGGCCATGTGCCACTTTCAGGTCTCCTCAACCACTGCTGGTGTGTTGAAATTTTTTGACATTTAGGGTGCTGGCAGATGTACGGGCCTCCCATAAGCTGCCTGCCAGGCCCCTAATCTGCCACCTGGGCCCCTTGTAACATACCGCTCTCTTTCATGCTGCTGCCAGGATATCCACAGTCTCTCATGCCATGTTGCCACTTTTTGGAGGTCTCCTCACACCATGCTGGTGTGTTGAATTTTTTGACATAGGGTGCTGGCAGATTACGGCCTCCCATAGCTGCTGACAGGCCCTAATCTGCCATGGGCCCCTATACCGCCTCCGTCATTCGCTGCTGCCAAGCATCCAGAATCTGTCATGGGTCCCCTGTACGCCTCCCATTGCTGCTGTCTCCATCGCCACACTCTAGCGACCATGGCTCCACTTTCAGGTCTCCTCACACACTGCTGTGTGTTGAATTTTTGGACATAGGGTGCTGGCAGATTACGGGCCTCCCATAGCTGTTGCCAGGCCCCTAATCTGCCCATGGGCCCCTATATTACCGCCTTCCTCATGCTGCTGCCAGGTCCAGAGTCTCTCATGGGTCCCTGTAACGGCCTCCCATTGCTGCTGTCTCTATCGCCACACTCTGCCATGTGCCACTTTCAGGTCTCCTCACACACTGCTGGTGTGTTGAATTTTTGGACATAGGTTGCTGGCAGATTACGGGCCTCCCATAGCTGCTGCCAGGCCCCTAATCTGCCATGGGCCCCTATATACCAGCCCTCCTCATGCTCTGCCAGGTCCAGAGTCTCTCATGGGTCCCTGTAACGGCCTCCCATTGCTGCTGTCTCCATCGCCACACTCTGCCATGTGCCACTTTTCAGGTCTCTCCTCACACACTGCTGGTGTGTTGAATTTTTTGACATAGGGTGCTGGCAGATTACGGGCCTCCCATAAAAAGCTGCTGCCAGGCCCCTAATCTGCCATGGGCCCCTATACCGCCTCCTCATGCATGCTGCCCCAGTCCAGAGTCTGTCATGGGTCCCTGTACGGCCTCCCATTGCTGCTGTCTCCATCGCCACACTCTGCCATGTGCCACTTTCAGGTCTCCTCACACTACTTGCTGGTGTGTTGAATTTTTTTTGACATAGGGTGCTGGCAGATTACGGGCCTCCCATAGCTGCCGTGCCAGGCCCCTAATTCTGCCATGGGCCCCCCTATATACCGCCTCTCATGCTGCTGCCAAGTCCAGAGTCCTGTCATGGGTCCATGTACGGCCTCCCATTGCTGCTGTCTCCATCGCCACACTCTGCCATGTGCCACTTTTCAGGTCTCTTCAACACTGACTGGTGTGTTTTTGAATTTTTTGACATAGGGTGGATGGCAGATTAGGGCCTTCCCATAAGCCTAAGCTGCTGCCCAGGCCCCTAATCTGCCATGGGCCCCTGTACGCCTCACTTCATGCTGCTGCCAGGTCCACAGTGTCTCATTGGCCACTGTGCCACTTTCCAGGTCTCCTCACACTGCTGGTGTGTTGAATTTTTTGACATAGGGTTGCTGGCAGATTACGGGCCTCCTATAGCTGCTGCCAGGCCCCTAATCTGCCATGGGCCCCTATACCGCTCGCCTCCTCATGCTGCTGCACAGTCCAGAGTCTCTCATGGGTACCCTGTACGGCCTCCCATTGCTGCTGTCATCCATCGCACACACTCTGCCATGTGCCACTTTCAGGTCTCTCTCCTCGCTCACACACTGCTTGGTGTGTTGAATTTTTTTGGACATAGGGTGCTGGCAGATTACGGGCCTCCCATTGCTGCTGCCAGGCCCGGTAATTTGCCATGGGCCCCCGTACGACTCCTCATGCTGTGATGTTCTTTTTTTATTTGCAACCCCCCCCCCCCCCAAGGGTGGAATTCAACCCTACATTATGTTAGACCGCCCTTTTACGAACAGCAAAAAGGCCATCACAGATTTCCTGATGTTAAACGAGCCGATAAAGGTAACTCCCTGTGTAACTTAGATGTCAGCCATTGGTCACAGCTCATGCGTGGGACACCTCTGCGCTTGCTCAGGCCCTTTGAGGAGGCCACGCTATTCGTGAGTCGGCAGGACTATGGGAAGGATGAACGACGTCATTCCTCTGTTGCACGGTCCTGGAACAAATGCTGTTAATATGGCTGGTCAGGGTGCGGTAGACGTGCGCGCACAGATCTCAACGCCACATGACCCCTGTGGGGGCAGGACAGGAAGAAGAGAGGAGGTAGAGGAGGGACATTGGTGCTCAGGAATTATTGCGTGAAATGGGTGGTTTTTCCACTCAGCGGACAGGAGTGGAGGAGCAGGGAGCATCTGGTAGAGGAGGAGAGAAGAGGAGACAGAGGACCCAGACGCACCGTGGCAGTATGCTGTGGAGATGGAGGCAGGGAGTCCCCTCGCATTTCCTTGGCACAAATGGCCCATAGCATGCTCGCTTGGCTTGCGTACCGACAGCCGAATAAATAACCATCAGACAGAGGGATGACCTTTTTGGCTGTCCACCTTGTTGGACCCTCGCTACCGTTCCAAAATGGTGGCCTTTTTCACACCTGCTGAGAGGGAGGCCAAAATTAACGTACTATAAAAACCACCTATGTAGTCAGCTGGTCTCTGCCTGTCTGCGCCAACGTCCATCCCTCAGACACTGTGGGCGCCCTGTGCGCTCGCGTTCCGCTGCCATTGCAGCAGGGGAGGGGTGGGGTGGTAGGAGCAGTGGCAGCTCCACCAGCAGCAGCTGCCTCAGTCTGCAGTCGATGATGAGTAGCTTTCTTCACCAGCGCAGTGAGGAAACTAATAACCAGCCGCAGCAGCAGCAGCAGCAGCATCAGGTGGACCTGGAGCAGGACCTCAAACAACAGGCTTAGGCCTACTTGGACAGCACCCTGCCAACCGAGGTAGACAATCCCCTTGACTACTGGGCAACGAAACTTGACCTTTGGCCCCAACTAGCTGAATTTGCCCTTGAAAAGGCTGTCATGCCCGGCCAGTAGCGTGGCATCGGGAGCGCGTGTTTATGCGGCAGGAGGTATTGCAAACTCCGCGGAAGGACACGACTGTCCACCCAAAGTGTGGAGAGACTCACGTTTGTGAAAATGAATCAGGCGTGGAATTAGTCTGGATTTCAAAAAAACCACCAGTTCCTGACACAACAGACTAAATCTGCCATGAATCATGCCCCAAACATGTGCCACTTTCAGGTCTCCTCACACTGCTGGTGTGTTCCATTTTTTGTCATAGGGTGCTGGCAGATTACGGGCCTCCCATAGCTGCTGCCAGGCCCCTAATCTGCCATGGGCCCTCTATACCCGCCTCCTCATGCTGCTGCCAAGTCCAGAGTCTCTCATGGGTCCCTGTAAACCGGCCTCCCATTGCTGCTGTCTCCATCGCCACACTCTGCCATGTGCCACTTTCAGGTCTCCTCACACTGCTGGTGTGTTCAATTTTTTGACATAGGGTGCTGGCAGATTACGGGCCTCCCATAGCTGCTGCCAGGCCCCTAATCTGCCATGGGCCCCTATACCGCCTCTCATGCTGCTGCCCAAGTCCAGAGTCTGTCATGGGTCCCTGTACGGCCTCCCATTGCTGCTGTCTCCATCGCCACACTCTGCCATGGGGCCACTTTCAGGTCTTCCTCACACTGCTGGTGTGTTGAATTTTTTGACATAGGGTGCTGGCAGATTACGGGCCTCCCATAGCTGCTGCCAGGCACCTAATCTGCCATGGGCCCCTATACCGCCTCCTTCATGCTGCTGCCAAGTCCAGAGTCTGTCATGGGTCAACCTGTACGGCCTCCCATTGCTGCTGTCTCCATCGCCACACTCTGCCATGTGCCACTTTCAGGTCTCCTAACACACTGCTGGTGTGTTCCATTTTTTGTCATAGGGTGCTGGCTGCAGATTACGGGCCTTCCCATTGCTGCTGCCAGGCCTGTAAATCTGCCATGGGCCCCCGTACCGCCTGGTCACGCTGCTGCTGGGTCCACAAGGTGTGACATGGGTCCCATGTACCGCCTCCCATTGCTCCCACTCTGCCATGTGCCACTTTCAGGTCTCCTCACACTCCTGCTGGTTTCCATTTTGTCATAGGTTGCTGTATGGCCTCCCATTGCTGCTGCCTCCACCGCCACACTGTGGCTCCAAACACTGGTTTTGGCCCCGTGACTGGCCAAATGAGTGAAGTGTGCGGTTGATTCTAAGATCGACGGCACTCATCTGCATGTCATACTGACTGACAGTATTATTTCTCTTCCCCAGCAGACTCCAAGGGCATTTAAAATAAAGGTACAGTGTTCTGCACTAATATTACGTCTCTCTGAAGCCTAGAAACACCCTTTTTTAAGTTAAATTCACAGCGAATATATTCGACTCGAATCGAATATTGTCCACGATTCGCCGAATCAGTCGAATCGAATTTTTTGAATACTTCGCTCATCTCTAACTAATACCAACGATGGGGCACTATTCCTCCTGTTGACCACAGGTGCTGTGTAATTTTTTTACTCCCCATTGACCACGAAGACATTGTCTACTCCCACTGATTCTGAGGCATTTTCTGCTCCCACTGGCTACAGTCTGGCCTCCCCTACAGTCTGAAAAACAGTAAACTGGCCCTTTATTTAAAAGGATTGGAAGACCTGTGATATAGATCATACACCACTTTTAGTAGTCTTTTTCCTTCTCTCATATTAATGTCCTTCATGGTTTATATTCTGTAGACTGTATTCCTTGATTTCAGTGTTCTGGCTTTCTTTAAATATCAGCTGAAGTATATACACCTTCTTGTATTACCTTGGAGAGGCTGTCTGCTGTTCTTTTAAAAGTACCCAAGCAAATAAAAAAAACACAATTTCTGCAAAACTCAGTAAAGACAGTCAAGTCTAGAAAATGCTTTGAACTAGTTTAAACTTGAATTTAAAGTGGACCTTGCAGTACAATGCAAGGTCCGTTTGTAGCAAGGGGTTAGGACCCCATTGTAATTCCTTGGGAGAATTCTGATGCATTGCTCCCAGGTGCCACTAGATGTCTCAACATATCCACAATGTCCATGTCTACCTGCCTAACCTGTGTCTTTCACATCGCTGGAAATTATATCATCATCCTTTCGGAAGGATTCCTGGAAAATGCAGCTAAACGGGTTTTGCAGTACAAATAAGAAAAGCACAAGTGATTATTGGACAAATATTGACACTCATAAATACTTTGGTTAACATCACAATATCTACCCTGTATTCACATATGTCTGAATGATTGCGCTAGAGATACTGCATAGTTCATCTAGTTGAGCTACATCTGCAGAATACTGTCCACTTCCAGCCTGAATATACTCATACATAGGAGTGTACAGAAAGCATACCAGATACACACTGTCCAGTAGATGTACATGTCCAGTAAAATATATAACAACATTTGTATACGGCTGTAAGCTTCGCATAGATGAGGAAGCTCTCATTTGTTATTTAGAAACCCACCCAACAGATTTTTTTTGCCAGACCAAGAGAAGATCTGTTCACTATAGGACAGCACATGAGAGCCCCAAATAAGCATGCACGGGGAAAAACCTTGAACCTTGGTCATTGCCAAAATCTTTGGCACTGGAGTGTCTGTGTAAAACCCCTTCTCCATTTCTTGCCCTAACAGAAACACTCTTGCCATACAGTACTAAAAGCACTTTCTTATAAACTATGTAGCGCTACCCCCAAAGGATCCAGTTGGTAATTTTGGGTTCGCTGTTCTGCGCTCCAACAAGAACACCCTCAGCCCCTCAAGCACACCTGGTTGAATAAATCACTACAAACACAAGTAACACCAGTGCATAGTACCTTTCCCTGGCTGTAGGACATAACAAACGGACACACACCTGCTTAGTGGTAGACACTGTTAGACTATAATTAAGAGATTGCAGAAATGCCAATTTAAGTGCAGCTTGCTATGCAAAGTAAAGCTGCTCTTTGGTAAGATAAATATATCTGTATGTAAGCAGCTCTATATCAGTAGCAGGAAAATGAACACGTGAATAGGTAAATCAATAACAATAAGCCCTACTGTACTCTAAAACTAATCTAAAGAGATAACAGCTCCCTAGCAGTTTTTACTGTACTCAAAGGAATGGGAGGTGGTAGAATATCACTTTAAATAACAACTGGGCCTTAGATAAGTACAGTTAGCGGGAGGGTCAGTCTTTAGTCCTGGAACTTCACCAGCTAGTATAATGAAGCTTGTTGCGGCCATGGTTAGGGTCTGAAAGCAGTATTGGAACTAAAAAAAGGCAGAGCGGCAGTTCCAACAGGCTCAGTACCTGAGAGCAGTAATGGATAATGGCCAACAGGCCGTCTCAATGGACCCATTGAAATAGCAGTGGAAATCCATCTGGCATGGACGAACGCTCACACTTGGTCAACCTAGGCAGCTCTGGTCCATGGTGTAGCACGTCTGTAGCTTGGCAGTAACTGTCTCCACTCTCTCCAGTGGCTTTCTGAGTGGCATGGCTCTCTCTCTGGTGGCTTTCTGGACAGTGTGGCTCTCTCTCTATCAGTGCAGCCAGGCTCTTCCTCTCGTGGGTCTCTTCTCCCTCCTGTCACTTGCCAGGTCCCCTTCCTTTCCAAGGCTCCCAGTCCTCTCCTCCCTTTGCTGTTGGGGCATGCTGGAGGCTGTAGTCCATGCCCCATTAAATACAATGGGTAGCATGTCTTCTAGGGACTACAATAGGGAGGGGACAGAGCAAGCAGGGATCCTGGTAAGTGCCGCTCTTTTCCCCTGTGACAGTGTGTGTGTGTGGTGGGGGGGGGGAAGCCTGCAGCGTCTCTCTCTCTCCCTTTTCACAGGGCCAAACAGCCTCTCCAGTCCCCCGCCATGGTCTGACTTGGGGGGAGAGGAGCCCGCTGCCACCTCCCCACAGCATGGGAGGAGAGGGGAAAAAAAGAGGGCAGGCGGAGGCAGCAGCCGCTACACAGTCCCCCCACCAAAGAACCCTTGGTCCTCAAAGGAAGGGAAGAGTCCATATGCATATAATATCCACAACCTGTTACATGCTATCAAATACATTGGAAGAAAAAGCAAGTTAGTACATGTATGAAAACAAGCAATTGGCATGTATATATGAATCAGGCAGGGGAACCTCCCACCATTTATCATTAGAGGGGAGGTTGTCTTGCCCACAAGCTACCAATATTGAGATGGCACAACTAGATGGGGTGAGTTTGAGTCGCCCTCCACTAAATCTGCAGTGGGAAGGGTTGGTGTGTTGTGTTTTCTTTGAGAGGTGAACATAGCTTCTTCAGAACTTTCACCTAAAGTACAGTTGTGTCCAAAATTATTCAACCCCCAATGCTGTAAAGGGGTTTAGGGACTATAGTGTACATTTGGAATTGTATTCAGAATCAAATCCTACAAGGACGTTGTAACTACCCAAATGCAACTAAAATGACATCAATTGTTTATGTAATACAGTAGTAAATGGTTCTTATGTGGTTTCTTCATTGCCACAATTATTCAACCCCTTAAAGACTACCACTCTGAAGAACAGAGGTTCATACAGGTGCTTTCCATCAGGTATTGAAAACACCTGTGGATGTCACCGAGCAGCAATCAAGCATAATAAGCACCAATTAGGCAGCTTTAAAATGACTGTGATACTCAGCTCCTTCTAGACATTTACTGGTGTGGTTACAAACATGGTGAAGGCAAGAGAATGGTCCAGGAAGACAAGAGAAGAGGTGATTTCTCTTCACAGGAAGGGCAATGGCTATAAGAAGATTGCAAAGATGTTAAACATACAAAGAGACACCTTAGGAAGCATCATTCGCAAATTCAAGGCAAAGGGCACTGTTGAAACGCTACCTGGTCGTGGCAGAAAGAAGATGCTGACTTCGACTGCTGTGCGCTACCTGAAGCGTAGAGTGGAGAGAAGTCCCCGTGTGACTGCTGAGGAACTGAGAAAAGATTTGTCAGATGTGGGTACAGAAGTTTCAGCCCAGACAATAAGACGCACACTGCGTAATGAAGGCCTCCGTGCCAGAACTCCCAGGCGTACCCCCTTGCTGTCTCCAAAGAATAAGAAGAGTCGACTGCAGTATGCCAAAAGCCATGTGGACAAACCACAAAAGTTGTGGGATAGTGTTCTGTGGACTGATGAAACAAAATTAGAACTGTTTGGGCCCATGGATCAACGCTATGTTTGGAGGAGGAAGAACAAGGCCTATGATGAAAAGAACACCTTGCCTACTGTGAAGCATGGTGGAGGGTCAATCATGCTTTGGGGCTGTTTTGCTTCTGCAGGTACAGGGAAGCTTCAGCGTGTGCAAGGTACCATGAATTCTCTTCAGTACCAGGAGATATTGGATGGAAACGTGATGCAGTCCGTCACACACCTGAGGCTTGGGAGACGTTGGACCTTTCAACAGGACAATGATCCCAAGCATACCTCCAAGTCCACTAGAGCATGGTTGCAGAGGAAAGGCTGGAACATTTTGGAGTGGCCATCGCAGTCACCAGACTTAAATCCGATTGAGAACCTCTGGTGGGACTTAAAGAAAGCAGTTGCAGTGCGCAAGCCTAAGAATGTGACTGAACTGGAGGCCTTTGCCCATGAAGAATGGGCGAAGATACCCGTAGATCGCTGCAAGACACTTGTGTCAAGCTATGCTTCACGTTTAAAAGCTGTTATAACTGTAAAAGGATGCTGTACTAAGTACTAAGATTGAATGTCACTTGGGGGTTGAATAAAACTGATAATGCTGTGAGCACAGAAAAGACATTTGTGGTTATTTCATTATAACTGTTATGTTATATTTGTCTGACCTACAAGTGCCTCTTTAATGTAAATGTAAGCAAGATGACTGAATGATCAAAAGCAATGTCAAACTGGCCAAAACACTCAATTTCAGTGGGGGTTGAATAATTTTGGACACAACTGTATTGTAAGTCATTCTTTTAGGGGGACGAATTGTTCACTTTTCTCTTCGCTCTTTAAGCTAAGGTGCTTGGGATACAACTGACTTATCTTCTTCCACTATAGCAGGTTGAAGAGCTTCTGTGTCCTCTGCAGTCAGGGGAGTTTGAGGATCTTCTTGATTTAGCAGAGCTTGGCTATGTGGAATGAACTCTGGAGTCTCAGGCCTGAAGGTTTCAGTATCTGCTTCTCTTGAAGGAAAGGGAGTAGCAGCCTCTGACATTGTAGACGGCCACAGCCAATCCATGCCCATTTCTTCTTACTTACTGTCCTCTTCATCTGCACTTGGTAGCAGAGGTTGAGACCTAAGTACTTGGCAAGATCTCTCAGTGAAGACTGTGGATCAGGTTGTTGAGGT